AAAAAAAAAAAAAAAATAAGGACAATACCAACCTCACACCTAAGAAAAGAAAATTGTTCCTGGTATAAACTGTCCAGCCAGTGTGTAGCTGCTTGGTATCTCCAATCAAGTTGGCTGCTTGAATCAAGATGCAAAGACAGCCCACATGGCATAGAGCTGATGTGTTTCCTACATAAGTGCTTTCTCCTCCACCCTTTTTTCTTGCAAATTTCTTTTTGGGAGGTGTATAAACCAGGTCATGTACCTTGATACCACAGTCTGGGTTTTGCTGACTGAGTCTCGGCGGCGATGACACAATCCTCTGCTCCCTGTGCCGTCTAGCTCTTTTATTTTAGTACAGGTCTGCAAATTGGTGCTATTCTACTTCTATCACTCCTTCTTTATCAGTTGAAATACTTCTATAAAGAGAAACTTCCCTTTATCAACTTTTTGGTTACCTTGAGGTATAGCAATAGGAGGAGCAGGTTAAATGCTTTTTTCTCTCTACAGTTTTCAGAATAGTTAAGCTGATTCTCTCCTATCCTCCAAATGTAACTGAGATCAGCGTTTTAAAAAAGTATCATTGCAAAGTCTGAATTTAAACATATTTGATATGCTACATTCCACAGCAGTTATTATTTTCACTAATGCTCAAATTTTCTCTTCACTGGACAGCGGAAGGCTCTTCAAACTGACATCTGAGTTCTTCCGCTAGGAGCTCTCGTTTATTTCAGGGGCACATAATGTTTAGAAACCGCCATGTGGGTGGTGCTAGGGGTGCTTCTTGTTACTGGATTGGATAATTGTTTCTAAGCCTTTCCAGTGAACAGAGCCAAGCGTGTATCTGTTAATCCCAAAGTCCTGATTTATCCCCTCACCTCTCCCCTTTGGTAACCGTAAGTTTGATTTCTATGTGTGTGAGTCTGTTTCTGTTTCGTGAATAAGTTCGTTTGTATTGCTTTTTTAGATTCCACATATAAGTGATATCATATGATATTTGTCTTTGTCTGTCTGACTTGCTTGGTATGATAATCTCTAGGCCCATCCATGTTGCTCAAATGGCATTATTTCATTCTTTTTTATGGCTGAGTAATATTCCGTTGTATATATGTACCACATCTTCTTTATCCATTCATCTGTCAATGGACACTTAGGTTGCTTCCATGACCTGGCTATTGTAAACAGTGCTGCTATGAACACTGCTGCTATGAACACTGGGGTGCATGTATCTTTCTGAACTAGAATTTTCATCTTTTCTGGATATATGCTGAGGAGTGGGATTGCTGGATCATATGGTAACTCTATTTTTGGTTTTTTAAGGAACCTCCATACTGTTCTCCATAGTGGCTGCACCAATTTACATTCCCACCAACAGTGCAAGAGGGTTCCCTTTTCTCCACACCCTCTCCAGCATGTATTATTTGTAGACTTTTTGATGATGGCCATTCTGACTGGTGTGAGGTGATACCTCATTGTAGTTTTGATTTGCATTTCTCTAATTAGTGATGTTGAACATCTTTTCATGTGCCTGTTGGCCACAAGATGCTTATCTTTCCAGGCCTGGGGTTCCTCATCTCGAAAAGGAGGGACCAGGCTAACGAATCCTCTAAACTCCCACCCAGACTAAAAGTTCTGATTATAAGACACAATTCAGCCAGGCCAATAAGAAATATTCATATATGGGGGCCCCAGATCTTACATTTTGGTTAGAGACTAATTTCTTCTTCCTGAAAATACTCAAGACACTGACCCCCAAAGACATGCCTTCTCTGGGTATCAAGATAAACACTACGGTGAAAATACTAAGTCTATAATTTCTGTAAGTGATAGGATGCCCTCAAATTGAATAGGTGCCACTCACCTGGCAAATACTTTTACTGCCTATCTGCTCCATAGGCCAAATTAAGAAAACATAAACCAAAATATAAAAGAAAACAGCTCACTTCTTCTTCTAAGTGTTGTCAATGGAAATGCACAATGAACTCAAAATAGCACAAGTAAGACATACGATATGGGATAAGTTGAAAGCAACTGTGAGTTATGGAGAGACATAAAGCAACATGAACTTGTTACTCAGTAAAAATTTTTCCTCCAAATACCTTGATAAGGTCTGGCTTTTGACAGTCAGACTTGACTTCAGAGTTTGGCAGAGAGACGAAGCAAGGGCAGAGTGTCACATACCATAGCGGCCGGTTTTACTAAAACACAAGAGCTATCTGAGCCCAAGAAAGGCAAAGAAGCTAGCAAGAAAAAACAAATTATAACAACCCACCACTTTTCTCAAAAGTAGTAAGGTGAGGTTGCACAAGTCCTCAGTGCAGCAGATTAAGCTTCACTGACGAGGGTGCTTAACTGCAGTTACTGTTTGTTTACAAGAGCCTGAGGAGGCCGGTCTGTGTGGATAAGACACTCAAGGCCCAAAGAATAAATAAATAAAGATGTACCTTGATAACCACTAGAGCTGAAGACTGTTGCTAAACTCTGTAAGGCCTTGCCTATCTTCTGATATTCCTTGGGTAATGCTGAAAGAGAAAAAGGAATAAATCATTAACTAGTCCTCTGAGCAAAAATGAAATGGATCCAATTATTTTCTAAAAGTACTATTACAATAAAAGAAATGTGAAACGATTCAAAATAGTCTATATTCTTAATAAAATATTGATGTAAAATGATTGTTTTTAAAAATTAATGTTTCTTCAATTAATGTTTTTAGTTTTAAATTAATCAATTGTTCAATTAATGGCGGACACTATTATTATGAACACCACCACCACCCACATTCTCATTCACTGAATGAACTCAAAGTGCACCAGGAGCTCACTTAGAAGATGACGTCTAGGTTAGAGTCCTTTCACGTATTCCACCCCAACCTGATCGTCACAACGAGCCCCTCTACCAACGTAGGTACACCATCTTCATTTCATGGGTTAGGAGAATAAGGGTCATAATAGCTAAATGGTGCAGCTGGCACTTGTGATTCCTAATCCATTGCTTTTCCCACTCTGCTATGTACGTATGAATGATTATTTGCAAAACAAAAACAAAACTGAAAGCAATGGGGTGTGCAGAAAAATGGCAGTGGCACCTCACAGGATCAGGGAGGAGGGATTTTAGTTTTCTCATTTGTATAATAGTAAGATTAACTAAATCATCTCTAAGGCTCTTTCTAGTGCTAAAATTCTAGGCTTCTGGGATCACTTTGGAGAACTTCCTAGAGAAGAGTCTCGTATCTTAGGCTACCTTTTTTGCATCTATACATAGTCCCCTGAAACACATCTGCTGCCTTTCAAAAGAAACCATTACTCTCATTTGAAGATAGTGTTATATTAATAAAGAAAAATGATTCAAATGTTTCTTTAAAAGAATCTAGGCCGGAGAAACTTGACATATGGCCTATAAGCTGTAATAATCAGGAAACACGAATTCAAACTACATTAGCTTAACTTTAATAAATTGTGCACCCTTTTGTAACTCAGTTTTTGCCTCTATACCAGGGGTTAAAAAGACTTGTCATGTGCTTCACCATGCAGAGTGTGTGCTAGATTTCTCACTTCACAGATTAGGAATTTAAAAAAAAAATCTTTCGTGAGAAAAAAGAAATTATGCCTGAATCAAATTCTAAACAAAATACTTCAACCCCCTTTCTCCGCAAAAGAGAGCAGCCTAGAGTTACTACTATTTCATAAATTTGGCCCATGGATTTTACAGGACATGGAGCTGACCAGATGTTAGACATAAGGGATTTGATTCTTTAAAAGAAGCCATAATCCCAGATTTTTTGTGATCTCCTTAAAAAATCTTATTGTAATATTTGCACTCACTTAAATTTTTCTTAAAAACAGGGAAACACACTGTAAAGCAATTATACTCCAATAAAGATGTTAAAAAAAAAAAAGGGAAACAGCTGAGTTTACAGTTAAAATTATTTAAAAAATTAAATTACTTCATTTACATGTTAGAGAAGTGTCACTCCCCTTTTTGCCCATGAGTTATTCCCTGTGACCAAAGGCTTGCAACGGATTTTGTTTTCTGATGTTGCATTTGTATACGTTATGTTTTCAGGCTCAGTTCTATTTTTAGTATTTGCCTTGGGAAAGGAGCAACTGTTATTACTCCTGGTGTCTGCCCCTCAAGCATGAACAGCTGGTACACGACAAATGGTTCTGTTGATATAAAATATCATGTGAATGGTGGAGGGCCATTCAGTGTAAGGCCTGGCTTTATCCTCCAAAGGGCCAGATAGGAAATATTTTAGGCTTTGTCAGGTGGCAGGTTTCTGTTGAAAGTACTCAACGCAGCCACCCTCAACATGACAGTAGCCAAGGCCTGATCCCCACAGCTGGACACCTGACTGTGTGTGCTTCTCTCCCGGCCTATCTGACGCCAGGGCGGCGTGGGTTTGGGGAATACGGGAAAACAGTTCAGCAGAATGACGGTCTGCAAACAAAGGGAAGGGAGGGAGGACAGGAAGTTCTTGAGGATGTAGAACAGCAGGCAGAAAGCAAGGGTGACAGCGCCACTTTCTTCTCAGCAGTGTGCGAGTCTGACCCATGTACGCACTTTCTGCTATCACCTACCACTGGTTTTGCCTAAAAATTAGAGCTTTAGTCAAATATACAACTTACTAATATTCATCCATCTTACCAAACGGATGAATATTAAAAACTAAAATCATGAGATTAAAAATAACCACAGGCACTTTCTAAACATGCAGAAAAGATTAAATCTTCCACAGATGACAAACCCCAAATAACTGGAAATATTTAAGTGAACATGGTGTTTTCCACAGGAGCTCTTGAACTGGCTTCGTTTGAGCCAATTTTCTGTCGCTTAACGAGGGCTGAGGAGTGAGGTTCCTCCAAGAACTGTGGGTATGACGTGACTTTGGCTCACTAGGCGCATTTCTGTTTGAGGTGGTTAGCTTCCGCAGGGTGACAACGGCCGTGGCGGAGGCCGCACCACCACCTAGAAGCCAGCGGCAGCCCAGGGTGGCACTTACGTCCCGTGCACCGCTTCCAGTGCTCCTGCCCCACGGTGAGCAGCTCCTTCACGCCATCATCCATGGCTTTGGTGAATTTACCGACAGCATCACACTTCTGTTCTCTGTGGGGCAAAAACATGAGGAGGTGGGTCCTTGGCTTCACTATCAAACATCCAGACAGTATGAGGTGTTAAGGAGAAAAGTCCATGTGGTCAGGGGAGTTCACACCAAACGTGACCACAGGTACTTGTTTCTTGCTTTATAACAACTGCACTTTAACTAAATTAGTCTTAAAAACAGGCTGGGGCTTCCCTGGTGGCGCAGTGGTTGAGAGTCCACCTGCCGATTCAGGGGACGCGGGTTCGTGCCCCGGTCCGGGAAGATACCACGTGCCGCGGAGCGGCTGGGCCCGTGAGCCATGGCTGCTGAGCCTGCACGTCCGGAGCCTGTGCTCCGCCGCAACGGGAGGGGCCGCGACAGTGAGAGGCCCGCGTACCAGGGAAAAAAAAAACAAAAAACAAAACGAGGCTGGATTCGGGTTTTTAAAGAACTACTTCAAAATCTGCCATTTATATTTTAACTCTGCCTCCTTCCCCCTTCAATTCCTTATGAATTTTAACTAAAATTAGTCTAAAGTAAATAAAAGCTTCATTTCTTGAATATCTTTCTTAGTGAAATTCAATCACTGCAGGTACCACTGAATCTATAAAAACACAGTACAGGTTGCTAATGGTAGTTGTTCATTCACTCCAACAAGTACTTAAATGAATCAGAGAAAACACCCCAGACGCATAGCATCTCAGTGATACTGAACATATCAGCTACTTAAGGATGTAAAAAGTTTTCACCAACTTGAAAAAATCATCACAATATACTTCTTTTTTTTTTTTTTTTTGCGGTATGTGGGCCTCTCACTGTTGTGGCCTCTCCCATTGTGGAGCACAGGCTCCGGACGAGCAGGCTCAGCGGCCATGGCTCACGGGCCCAGCTGCTCCACGGCATGTGGGATCTTCCCAGACCAGGGCACGAACCCGTATCCCCTGCATCGGCAGGCGGACTCTCAACCACTGCGCCACCAGGGAAGCCCACAATATACTTTTAAATGAAAAAAACAGATTATAAAACAGAATGCATAGTGTGAGGTCACTTTCGTTTAAACAAACAATTTTTTTTTTTTTTTAGATGTTGGGGGTAGGAGTTTTAATTAACTAATTTATTTTTGCTGTGTTGGGTCTTCGTTTCTGTGCGAGGGCTTTTTCTAGTTGTGGCAAGGGGGCCACTTGCGCCACCAGGGAAGCCCACAATATACTTTTAAATGAAAAAAACAGATTATAAAACAGAATGCATAGTGTGAGGTCACTTTCGTTTAAACAAACAATTTTTTTTTTTTTTTAGATGTTGGGGGTAGGAGTTTTAATTAACTAATTTATTTTTGCTGTGTTGGGTCTTCGTTTCTGTGCGAGGGCTTTTTCTAGTTGTGGCAAGCGGGGGCCACTCTTCATCGTGGTGCGCGGGCCTCTTACTATCGTGGCCTCTCTTGTTGCGGAGCACAGGCTCCAGATGCGCAGGCTCAGTAGCTGTGGCTCACGGGCCTAGCCACTCCGCGGCATGTGGGATCCTCCCAGACCAGGGCTCAAACCCGTGTCCCCTGCATTAGCAGGCAGATTCTCAACCACTGCGCCACCAGGGAAGCCCCTAAACAAACAATTTTTCCTTCAGACACAAATGAACAGAGGAAGGTTTGGAAGACCACAGACCTAGGTCAACATATCAGCATTGATTTTTCTCTCTGGGTAGTTATAAGACTATCTATATATTTGGTAACACATAAGCAATGATTTTACGTTAAGAAAAAAGCTTCTTAAAATTTAAAAAAAAAAAAAAGCCTAAGATTTCTTATTAGTCTTTACGCAGCAAAGGAACTACTCCAGATTTTCAACCAAGCCTACGTTAAAAAGAAGATGACAAGATTAAAAACAGGATAGGAAAAAAACAGAAAAATCAGGTTTGGGATTGCCCCCTTCAAGGGGATGTTCAGAGAGATTTCTGTCTCGTGGACCATTCTGTGGGTGCCACCCTGTCTCATCATACTTTATTGGAAATAACTCCTAACCACAATGTCAACTATGAAATCACTGAGTTCAAGGTAAAAGGGAAGCACACTTTAACTGATGTTATGGTTAGAGAGACAGTGTTTCACGTACAAACGATGCTCTCCTGTCATCTGACTACAAACCCCACTCGTTTTACACACTCTAGTCTGACGACTGGCCGAGACCTGTAAGCAAAGGAGGCGGACTCAGTTTGGGGAGAAGGGAAGTTTGGCAGCATCTCTTACATTTCTACTAAGTCCAGGTCAGGTGCCTCTGGTTCCATGGTGGAAAATATCATAACTCCCACCAGCTCATCTTTCTCAGCCTTCCTTTTCCCAGTTTTCCATTCCTGTAAAGAGGAACATTATAATGTTAAAGTGGAGAGCAGAGCCACACTGGTCTTTCAAACTTCCCTCCTAGAATCGGCTCACTGTCATCTTTATCCTTCTAACTTTCAGGAAGCAGTGCCCACACCACCTCCCTCTGCAAACGCGCCAGGCACCTATACATCTCCAACGTCATCTCATACGTAAACAGTGTCACTGCACAGAACGGTCCTTATGAACCCAAGTCCTTCCAGAGTGAGGTGACCCAGCACCCTTCCTTTCCCAAGGCCCACCCATATAAACACACCCACGAATGTGACGAAGTGCCTCAAGTTTTTAGGTTGTTTTTTGAAAAAGATTAAAACTTTTCTAAAATATAAGATAGGAACCAATATTATAAACTATTAAAAAATTATTGCAAGTTATACACACACACTAAAGTACCCAAAGCAGAAATACGCAGTGCAACAAATTCTCACAAAGTGAATTCCTGTGTAACTACCACCAAAGCCAAGAAAGAGAAAAGAGCTAGCATCTCCGAAGCCCCTGTCCTGTCCCTTCCCAATCACTACCCCTTCCGTCCCCTACAAGGGTGACCATGATCCACTCCTTTATGGTTATCATTTCCTCACTTTATAGAGTTTCACCATCTGAGCCCCTACACCATGGTTTTGCTAGTTTTATTAACTAGCTAAGACCCTACCCTAAGCATTCTTTTGTGTCTGGCCTCTTTTGCTCAACCTACGCTAAGAAGCTACATTCACATTGTTGTTACACTGTAGTTCATTCATTTCACTGCTGTATAATATTCCATCGAATGACTGTTCCCCGATTTATTTACCCCATTCTACTACTGGTAGCCACCCCCAGTCCTGGCCAAGTTACGGATTAAGCTGCTGTGTACGTGTCTCCTGGTGCATATGTGCATGCGTTTACCCAGGAGTGGAAAGTTGTTCAAGTTTAAATAGATAATGCCAAACTGTTTTCCAAGCTGGTCTCATCAGCTTTTACACCCACCGGCAGTGTGTGTGAGTCCCAGAAACTCCTCATCTCACCAAGAAGACAATTGGTATAGTCAGTCTTTCTAATTTTAGCCTTCTGGCAAGTGTATTCACTGTGGTTTTAATTTGCATTTCTTATTACTCATGAGATTAGATACTTTCCTATACATTTACTGGTGATTCAGATTCTTTTGTGAGGTATGTTACCAAATCCCCTATTTTTCTACTGTTTTACCTTTCTTATCAGTTTGTATGGGTTTGCCCATCTTCTAAAATCCAGCCCTTTGCTCGTTATACATGTTCATATCTTTGACTTGTTTTTCTTTTTTAATGACTTACTGTGATAAACAGAAGTTCCTAATTTTAATGTAGTCTAATTTGTCAGTCTCTTCTTGTACGCTTAGTCAGTTTTGTGCCTTATTTCAGAAACTTCCCTACA